ACAAACTTAGCCACTATACTCTACCACTGTAGGAGAGATCTTGATCCCTTGTACCAAAGTTGTAAAGAGTTCCAATGATTAGTATGTCACATGGGAGTTATTAACTGTTCACAATATGTAGTCATATACTAATTGTTTTTTTTAATTGTTTTTTTTTATTTATTTATGATAGTCACACAAAGAGAGAGAGAGAGAGGCAGAGACATAGGCAGAGGGAGAAGCAGGCTCCATGCACCGGGAGCCCGATGTGGAATTCGATCCCGGGTCTCCAGGATCTTGCCCTGGGCCAAAGGCAGGCGCGAAACCGCTGCGCCACCCAGGGTTCCCTATACTAATTGTTTAATCTGCTTCTCTTACTACACAATCAAAAGCTAAGAATTTTTTTCTCCTTTTGTGGAGATGAAAAGATTATGAATCAAGTGAATGTTTAAGTAACTATTTAATGAGACACAGAGAGTGTGTATTATAAAGGAAAACATAGCAGTGTAGAAAGAGGACTAAACTGAGAATCTGGGGTTTAGTTCTAGTTCTGCTATTCACTGTTGATCACCCCAGTCATGAGTACCTCTGAGCCTTACCTTCCTCATCTATAAAATGAAGGAATCTGTCTCTAAACATCCTTTTCTGATCTTTTACATTCTACTAATACAATGGTTTATGACTGCATTTTAGATGAACTATGCTATAAAAATCCAAAATAGTGCCAACAACCAATGCTTATAAGCATTTGGATTACCATCTTTGCCTTAGCATATTTATAATGGCTAGTTGAATATAGTGTTCTTTTAAAAATTTTGCTCCAGAAGCTATCAAAAACTATCAAAGGCTAATATAAGATTATAACGAATCGATATTACTTAAAAATGAATACTGGAAAAAAAAAAGCCTATCATTATCCTTTTGTTCCCTGCATTCCTTCTCAAATGAAGACCAAGCTTACCATAATTTACAAACTTGTTCAGATGTAAAATCTATCTTGAGTAATGTAAATGAAATAAAGAAAAGATCAGGGCACCTGGCTGGCTCAGTTGGTAGAAGCATGTGACTCTTGATCTCAGGGTTCTGACTTTGAGCCCCACATCAGGCATAGCGATTACCTAAAAAAAGAAAAGAAAAGAAAAGAAAAGAAAAGAAAAGAAAAGAAAAGAAAAGAAAGAGAGAAAGAGAAGAAAGAAAGAAAGAAAGAAAGAAAGAAAGAAAGAAAGAAAGAAAGAAAGAAAGAAAGAAAGAAAGAAGAAAGAGAGAGAGAGAGAGAGAGATCCCTGGGGTGGCGCAGCGGTTTGGCGCCTGCCTTTGGCCCAGGGCGCGATCCTGGAGACCCGGGATCAAATCCCACGTCGTGAATGGAGCCTGCTTCTCCCTCTGTCTGTGTCTCTGCCTCTCTCTCTCTCTCTCTCTGTGACTATCATAAATAAATAAAAATTTAAAAAAAATACATTTAACATTATAAAAAAAAGAAAGAAAGAAAGAAGAAAGAAAGAAAGAAAGAAAGAAAGAAAGAAAGAAAGAAAGAAAGAGAAGAAAAGGAAAGGAAAGAAAGAAAAGAGAAGAAAAGGAAAGAAAGAGAGGAAGGGAGGGAAGGAGGGAAGGACTGATCTAATGGATTGGAAAAAAAGTATGAAAAGACAGATATAAAAGCAACCAGCCTTTCACTGACCTTTTCACCACATCCTTGTATCCTGGGGCCTGCCTTTCTGACACAGGCTTCAGAAAAGGACTGCTGAACCTGTTAAGGGACAAACTCTGAGAGGATGAGGAAACTCTAGAAAGTCACTGTAAATGAGAAGAGTGGCTGTGAAGACCAAGGTAGGCTTGGAGATCTACCTGTGACTGGCAATCATCTTCCAGACTGGCAGGAGAGTCTTCTTAAATAGCAAGTGATCCTGAACAGGGTCATTCTGGCCTAGATCAGACCTATGGGACAAAACAGGACACAACGGAAAGAGTAACTTCACAAATGGTATTCTGTCTCTCCCAGGTAGGTAAAGAGATTTTCTCAATATATAATGCTCTTAGTTGATATGGGAAAGAAGTAACACCATAGAAATTAAAACATATTTAATGCTTCCATAAGAGACCCCAAACCCTACAAATATTCTCTTACTGGTCACTATTATCTAATGGAGTAGTTGCTTTCTACTACCGAACTACAATTGCCTCTGTCTTTTGAACTCTTGCTGATTTGCTCTTCAGCACTTGGGACTCTAAAAACACTGGTGTATGAAAGTAGTCTTTGTTCACTGATGTTTCCCAAGTGCCTGACATATAGTAAGAGCTCAGATATTTCATAGTATTAAGTATTTTATTTTTTTTAAGATTTTATTTATTCATGAGAGACACACAGAAAGAGGCAGAGACCTAGGCAGAGGGAGAAACAGACTCCATGCAGGAAGCCTGATGTGTGGGACTCAATCCTGGGACTCTAGGATCACGCCGAGCCAAAGGCAGACACTCAACCGCTGAGCCACGCAGGCATCCGTATTAAATATTTTATAAATGAATCTATGATCCTATGTTTATGCCGAAATATGCCACATTAATAAGTATTTTTCCTACATTTCCTGAGAAGGAAATACTTGGTGTCACATCTCATGGAATTCTCTTATGTTTCATCTGAATGTGGCACAATTTACATATTTCTCCTTTTCACTAAGAAAATACCTAAGAAAAATTCATTTTTCGTCATGGCCCTTTCTTCTCTGGGCTAAATTGTCTGGTTTATTTTTTCTTCCAGGTGCTACTGTCCAATGTTTTATTTGATCTTATGATTTTCCCAGTTGACAAATTTTCTCTTTACTCCAAAGTTTAACACTATGTTAAACTTCCCACTCTTTATATACTGCATTAATCTCTCAAAATGGGTTCTTCTCACACCTCATGTTTCACACCCTCTATGCTTTATGTACCATACTGTGTGTGTCCATTTGAGCACATCTCATTTTATCTTTCTCCAAGTTGAACAATTCTAAACAACTATCTATTTTCAGGATATAGTATCTTACCTGCATCTGAAATATATACACAAAAATCAACTTGTCCTTAAACCAGAACCCTATCAGAATAAGGCATTTAAAAACCAAAACCCCCTTCCTTTGTTTCTGATCAGTTAGCCAAAGTGAATAATACTTCCCTGGTACTAGGGCAATTTTGTTTATACATCCACACAACAGGTATTAAGTTTCCATTATATGAAAGATATTGAGTTAGGTTTTGTAACCTCATAATTGATCACCTTTGCAGTATTTTAAGAAATAATCCCTTGCTTACCTTTATTTCCACTTATTTGGAAATGCATGTCAAGCAACTACAATTAAAAATGTAGAGTGGTACTCCAGAGGCCTTCTTTCTATGTATTCCTGAGAGTTAGTACCAACTAAGGGACAGCCAAGAAAAAGAAGAGCCTGGAGTATGTTTATCTTCCAAAGTGGTCTTTTTTTTTTTTTTTTTTTTTTTATGATAGTTACATAGAATGAGAGAGAGAGGCAGAGACACAGGCAGAGGGAGAAGCAGGCTCCATGCACCGGGAGCCCGACGTGGGATTCGATCCCGGGTCTCCAGGATCGCGCCCTGGGCCAAAGTCAGGCGCCATACTGCTGCGCCACCCAGGGATCCCCTTTTTTTTTTTTTTTAAAGATTTTATTTGGGGATCCCTGGGTGGCGCAGCGGTTTGGCGCCTGCCTTTGGCCCAGGGCCCGATCCTGGAGACCCGGGATCGAATCCCACATCAGGCTCCTGGTGCATGGAGCCTGCTTCTCCCTCTGCCTCTGTCTCTGCCTCTCTCTCTCTGTGTGTGTGACTATCATAAATAAATAAAAATTAAAAAAAAATTAAAAAATAAAGATTTTATTTATTTATTCATGAGAGATACACAGAGAGAGGGGCAGAGACAGAAGCAGAGGGAGAAGCAGGCTCCATGCAAGGAGCCTGACGTGGCACTCGATCCCCGGTCTCCAGGATCATGCCCTGGGCCAATGACAGGAGCTAAACTGCTGAGCCACCCAGGGATTCCCCCCCCCAAAGTGGTCTTAAGCTTATATGATTATAATACAAAAACTCAGCTTCTTAGCTTCCCTTAAGCCATCTAGTCAGGCAGACTCAATTACTGTTCTCTATTGCTTTCCAATAATTACTTTATGTTTATCCTAAATCTAAAATAAGACTATGGATTTTGCCATTCAAGATGCTAAAATGTCATGAGATAAAATGTCCCAGATTAGATTTTCTGTTTTATGAATAGTCATCATATGCCCTCAGTTCATACTTACAGAGAGTTATAGAAAAGCAAAGAAAGCAATTCTTCAACAACATAGGTATTAAGCTGTGTTCTACTTGTGTAATAAAACTTTGAAATCTGCTACCTAAAAAACAACCTTTCACACTATCTTCTTTTAGTAGATAGATACAAGACTAGGCTCAGAAAAGGAATTATTTATTACTATAAGAAAAACAGTTTTTCTGATTTAAAAAGAAATTCCCTTTACTAAAAAAAAAAAATTCCCTTTAGTCTCATAATTATTTATAAAAAGACAAGACAATTATATAAACAATTTCGCAAGATCTGTGGGAAAAAAACAAAGGAGATCATAACTTCAAAATAATTTTTAATCTCAAGTTGCAAGGAGCTTTTAGTATTTTTGAAAGAAGTATAGTTTCAGTATTAGACTTGAGGGACAATCTGACTGAGCAATATTTTCTGAATAAATATAGTAATTAAAGAGAAAGGTTACTGGGGCACCTGGGTGGCACAGTGGGTTAAGCATGCAACACTTGGTTTTGGCTCTGGTTGTCATCTCAGGGTTGGGAGACCCAGCCCCATGTTAGGCTTTGTGCTGAGCACACTCTGCTAAGGTTTCTCTCTCTCCCTTTGCCCCTCCTGGCCTTGCATGCAAACACTCTCAAATAAATAAATAAATCTTTAAAAAAAGGGAGGGGTGCCTGGGTGACTCAGTTAAGTGTTTGCCTTCGGTTCAGGTCAAGATCTCAGGGTCCTGAGGTAGAGCCGCATGTTGAGCTCCCTGCTCAGAGGAGTGCCTTCTTCTTCCTCTACTTGTTGCTCCTGCCCTCTTCCTGCTGCTCCTTGTTTGTGCATGCACAGCGTGCACTCACGCTCTCTCTCAAATAAATTAAAATCTAAAATAATAAATAAATAAGTAAAAATAAAGATAAAGTTTATTTATGACAGAGATTTTCAATGTGGACGAAACAGACTTTTTTTTTAAAGATTTTATTTATTTATTCATGATAGACATAGAAAGAGAGAGAGAGAGAGAAAGAGAGAGAGGCAGAGACACAGGCAGAGGGAGGAGCAGGCTCCATGCAGGGAGCCCTACCCAGGACTCGATCCTGGGACTCGATCCCGGGACTCCAGGATCCCGCCCTGGGCCAAAGGCAGGCGCCAAACCCCTGAGCCACCCAGGGATCCCGAAACAGACTTTTTTAAAAAAGTAGGCTCTAGGGATGCCTGAGTGGCTCAGAGGTTAGGCGTCTGCCTTCAGCTTGGGGCATGATTCCGGAGTCCTGGGATCGAGTCCCACATGGGGATCCCTGCATGGAGTCTGATTCTTCCTCTGCCTGTGTCTCTTATGAATAAATAAATAAAATATTTCAAAAAATATATAAATAAAGTAGGCTCTATGCTTAACATGGAGCTTGAACTTATAACCCCAAGATCAAGATTCACATACTACTGACTGAGCCAGTCAGGAACCTGAGACAGATTTCTTTTATAAGAGGAAAACAGAGACTTCTATTTATACAATAAAATTACATTTAATTATATTTCTAGTGTTTTCAAATTTTAATTTCCTTTTTTTAACTTACAAATTAATCCATGTTCATGGTAATGAATTCAAATAGGCATAAATAGAAGTAAAAATTTGAATCTTAACAACCCTGGATAGAAATCCATACTTACAACGTTGAAGAGGTAGCACGGCTGAAAAGGATATCCACCAGAGGAGTCTCCTGAATGCTGAAGCCATCATCACACTCTGTTGAAGAGGGCTGGTCTTCCATTTCTGACACATATCCTTCACCCTGGTCTTCCTCTTTGGATTCTTGCTGAACCTCCCCCTTGGAATGCCAAGTAACAAAGAAAAGTTTAGAAAGAGACTTACTATCTGCAAGGTAATTTTACATGGGGTAAATGAAGGCTGACCCTAACGTGGAGTCAATTATATAAAGCTATAAAAGAGATTAGAGAAAGGTGACTTAACTACACCATAGTCAATGAATTCTTGGTAACAATTTGGCTAGAGAACGGAGATTCTGTATATCAAGAAAAAAAGAGTAATATACTCATTTTTTTTTCCTTCTCTCTTTTTTTAAAATAATATACTCATTTCTAGATGGATGACCATCTGACCTGTGGCCCTGGAATTACAGAAAATATTCATCATAATGGCATTCTAAATTTTATTGATTGCTCACTGTGAGCCAGGCAGTAAGCAAAATGCTTTCTTTACATGAAATGTCTCACTTCAACTTCATAGCAAACCTAAGGTAGAGAGAGCACCACTATTCCATTTACAGCAGAAAAAAAACGAGGTTCTAAGATGTTTACTGACATACTTAAGGTCACACAGTTAAGCAGTAAAACCCAGATTTGGACCCAGGCAGCTAAACTCTCTGGAGTTAGCTTATGTGCCCTAACTACTATGTTCTGCCTCCCTGGGCAGAGGACCAATCAGCCAGCTAGTTTAAGTTACTCACTTACCTCTTCACTCTCTGTGGATAGTCGCTGAATTACACAAACATCTGAGGGAGCTGGAGCCACCTCTGGCCTTCCATTTTTTCCCAATGGCTTCTCAGCTACCATGGGGTCTAGCCTAGCTGAAAGCTGTTCAGGCTCTCTGCATGGCTCTTCTCCTTCAGTAGCTTCCATTTCTCTTTCCTCTTGTTGTCTGGTACCAGATGAAACGCAGCGACCTTCATTTGATTCTTTGCTGCTAATGCACAATGGCTCCATTAAATAAGCTACCTGCAATCATAGTATGCATACAAACACTAGTGGAAACCATTACCTACATATCAATAATGTTACATGATTACAGTGACCCAGTTTGAGATGCAAACAGATTACTCATTCATTCTACCATTTAAAATGTATAAAGTAACTCAGATACCCAGACACTGAACCACTTATTAGGAACCTAATGGTAATAGATATGGTTCTTGCCTCTTCAGAGAGCTTGAGTTCCAATTTTTCATGTCACACGTCAACTTTGATCAACTGGGAGTGGGTATGTAGAAAACTACTGAAAATTTTGTCTGCCACAGGCAATGCAGAAAGAAGCAACAACATGTTAAAATGGATTCTTGCTGATCTTGACCTAGGTTCTCCTGATGTGTGAAGCTGCCACATAAATATAAACTCTGTCCAACTCGGTTTATTTCTGGCCCTCAACCCTAAAATCAGTGTAATAAGGACACTGTAAAATAATGTCTTGAAGTCATAATGTTAAAACCTTCAAAGAGTGTGGGTATCACCTCCCAGGACTCCAAAAAATGAATTGCAACAGATATTCATAAGGCAAAACAAAAACAAAAACAAAAGATATTCATAAGGCAGTCCTGCATATGGAAACTCTACTTCCTACGACCCTGGGCTCTTAATTTATTTATTTATTTTTATTTTTATTTATTTATTTTTTGGGGGGGCTCTTAATTTAGACTGAGATCTTAGAACACTTGGTCAAAAAGTACATATTCAGCACATATTTTGTATTATTAGCACCAAGTGCTTGCTACAGACATAGCAATTAGTTTCTGCCACTGTGGAGCTTGCATTTTAGTAAACAATATTAATAGTAGTAGAAATATGTATGGGCAAGCACTCTCTTAGAAAGTTGAGACTCTTTTTTTTTTTTTTTTAAGATTTTATTTATTTATTCATGAGAGACACAGAGAGAGGCAGAGACACAGGCAGAGGGAGCCCAATGCAGGACTTGATCCCGGGACTCCAGGACCATGCCCTGGACCGAAGGCTAAACCGCTGAGCCACCCAGGGATCCCTGAGACTCAACTTTGGAAATAATGGCTTCCCATTACCTCAGAGAGAAAATGGAGGAGATTCTGGCGGCTGACTTGCTCTGCCTCTTCCTGAGATTCCTCACTGCCTCCGTCCCCCACAAGCAGCTCACTAGGTTCTCTCCCTGGGCTGCTTTCCTCTAGTTCCTCAGCCCCTGGCTCCTCAGTTTCTCTCCAGCTGCCCACATCAAGATCCAGACTGGAATCCCATGAACTGAAGAGGGACCTGCAGTCGTTGCTCAGCTCAGAGTCATTGGGATAATCTGGCTCCGAATCGAACCAAACCCACTCATGCCCCATCTGTAAATACACAGAAAAATGCATTAAGTTCACTCATATTACAATTTCTTAGGCACTTTCATGTCTGAAGTTCAGTAGAAAGATAAGAGATCAGAAACTTTCTACTCATCATCACACATAATAAAAGCTAGCTGAAGGGAGACATCAGGGGATGAAATCTTTGTCATTGGGAATAAAATCAAACAGTTGTTTTTGTTTTTAGATTTTATTTATTTATTCAGGGGAGGCACAGAGAGAGAGAGAGGCAGAGACACAGGCAGAGGGAGAAGCAGGCTCCATGCAGGGAGCCTGACGTGGGACTCAATCCCAGGACCCTGGGATCAGGCCCTGAGCTGAAGGCAGGCACTTAAACTGCTGAGCCACCCAGGCATCCAAGTCAAACAGTTTAAAAGAGGTATTACCCGGTAATTTTTTCTTGGGTTTCCTCACACTCCAAAAGAAAAGAACAGGAGCATAGCTAGCTCCTCTAGCATAGTAGTTCCTCTATCCCAAATCACCCTTAAACTCAACTGGAAGACAATACATTTGAGAAACAAGAGCTATTTTGCTTAGTGTGTAGACATCTATCAACCACTAAGTCCTCAAAATATACTTTAAAATTATCTGTGGCATCCATCTGGTCATATCCAACTCACTTTGCAGAATGAGAACACTATCAAGTTTTAAAAGTATTTTCCTTTCCTCTCATTACACTACACGATCCTGTTTTTTTTTACCCCTTTCTCCTATTTTTAAAGTAGGCTCAACACCTAGCATGGAGCCCAATTCATGTCCCTGGGATTAAGACCTGGGCTGAAATCAAGAGTTGGATGCTTAACTCTCTGAGCTTCTGAGAAGACTGCTCTTTTTCCTTTTACAAGTTGCAGTGTTCTTGCTTGTCCTCTGCTTCCTCATTAATACTTACTTAAAATAAGGTCTACGTTTTGAGGTTTCAACTTTGATCTCTACTGGAATAGTTCTTAGATCTCCACCTTTACTTCTTATGTGCATTCTGGTCTCATTTTTCCATGCACCCAAAGGACTATTCCCTTTAGGTGCCCTACCATCTGCTTCAACTCAACATTTCTAACTAAAATCACTTCTGTTTCTATCTTAAAAAGCATTTGCTTTCTCAAATTCCCTTATCCCCCTTATCAACACTATTTTCCCAATTCTCTTTACTTCTCTTATATTCAGGAAGTAACCCCACTTCCCAATTTTCATCCACAATAATTTTTCTCAAAGCCCATCCTCTGTTCTTAAATAAAATGTCATAGCCCCCTGGTTTCTGGATTTTTAATCCAATCTACCGTTAAGCATACCTGTCATGTTCTCTGTCAACCCAAACTCTTATCTGCATCCTTTAATGGATCTCCTCTATAATCTTCTCCCATTTTTAGGGCTTCACTGCTTGTGTCACATGCAAGTTTGTAGACTGCTTTGGGAATATATTGTACTTCCTTAAAGTAGTCTCCACTCCCAGAGTGGCACTCACTGAGGGGCTTGAACCTGAGATCAAGGCCTGAGCTGAGATCAAGAGTCAGATGCTTAACCGACTGAGCTACCTAGGTGCTCCTATAAATCCTAATCTTTAACTCCTGGATTGACTGAATTCCTATCACCCCGCAAGACTATCTGCTACTGCCTTAGCATCCTAACAAGCTTCAGAGTTTAAGCCAGAAAGATCTGTGACTTGTCTTTCATAAACATCTTTTTCAAGAAGGCTCAACATATGAGACAATACCCTATTAATGTCCATTTCTTTATAATAAAAGGCTCATGACTAGTTCATTTCACACAATTTTTATTTAGTAACAAAAACTGAAACTCAAGTAATAAATTTGCTAACTCTGAAACTGATTTTAGCCTTCAAGTAGCAATGAATTCTAAAATACACAAGAACCCTACATAAAGGATGAGGAAGGAAATAGTGCTATACTGTCCTAGATATACCATCTGCAAAGGTAGGACACTAAGTAGGACAAATGTCTGAGATAAAGGTCAGTGCTACCTATGTCCACGTTCTAATCTTCATTAAAAGCAATACCATGAACAGAACTCTGAAAACATTTAAGTTTTCCCAAACATTCCAGAAAAACATATCATCCTTGTTGCACAATGCAGCACTTTAGAACATTAATTATAATTTCAATATTGATTACTTACCTTCTCCAAGCTGAACAGTTCATATTATAATACCACTTCCCCCCCAATCATCTTATTTCCACAGACAAAACAATTATCACGCAGAAAAAAACCACAAGTTTTTCACACACAAACACAGAATACACCAAAGGCTAAAGTTTTCTTTTCTCAGTTTATTGTGTATACATATACACTTCACAGGTGTTTTGTTTTTGTTTTAAAAAGTCTGTACACTTCACAAGACAGTACAAACTAGCTACAATCTGCTAGCTACGCATTAGGACATTAACACAGCCCATGATTTTTGCCCTAAAACAGGCAATTGTGCTACTTCAACTCTCTGAGAGAGTTTCCCCAGCTCATGTCACATGGCCCAGATGCCTCCTCTTCTGTATCTTCCACTTCTGGAACTGGGCCGACAAGCCCAAGCTCTTTCTTGTTTACTTCTACTTCAGGTGCAGCTCAATGAGGATACTCTGAAGCTTCACTTTTTCATCTTCATATCTGCTTCAATGGCACAGCGGCGCCCCCTGGTGCCCCCATCCTAGATGATAGGCAGACAAAGAAATTGAGCATGAGTGAGTTGATTAGAACCTAAGAGAGAAGTTTCAACAATGCTGGGGGATTTGGTTTCTTGGGGAAGGAAGAGAATCAGCAGAAAAATCCAGGAAATAAGAGGTACAGATCTGTCTTCCCACAGAGTGGGCTAAAAATTCCTGGCAGTAGTTTGTGAGAGGAAATGTAGGACAGAGTATTTTGCTCCTGCCCACCACAGAGGTCACTGGGGTTTCACCTGGGGTCCCAAAGAATGACTATTAGTCATCCCACCCAGGCCCTAAACTGTGTTCAAAGAAACAGAAAGAGTAAAAGAAAGGTGGGAGGGTCAGAAAGGGCAGTGGATAGTGATATTCTTGGCTAACATACCTGTCCAGCTTGTTGGTCCCTATAAGAAAGGCCTTTCCTGCAGACTGACCCTGGCACTAGTTTCCCTAGCACCTCCTGACAGTTGTTTTCCATGAGATCAGGACAATCAGAAGGCTTCTTTCCATCTGCTGCTCTCTCCCTGCAGCCCAGCTCCTTCCTCTTGTGCAATACTTTGCTGTCTTCAATAGATAAAAGATCCTATTAACCAGCTTTGCAACAGCCAACCAACTGCTTGGGGATCCAGAGTCACTGTTGCAGGCCAGTAAGAAAGAAGGGAGATTACAGTGTTCCGTCCGTGGTACAGGCTGATGCCTGTAGGCAAGATGAATTGGTGAACACTTTTGCTGGGCTAGGCCATTTTTACATTTCTAACATGCAAGGACTCTAAAGTTTACAGAGCTCATGAACACAAGCTGCCTTTGAGGCGACATTAAAGATAAAAATAACACCTTGCATTTGTTTAACACTTTAATTTTTTTCAAGCCAATTCCATAGCTTGATCTTATTTTATCCTCACAACATCCCTGTGAGGTAGGCTGGACAGGTACCTGGTTATATTAGGTCCATCACACAGATAAGGAAAACAAGGTTCCAAAAGATAATCCAGTGAGTTTAAGATCATGTGATTTTCTAGGCTGATGTCTTCCATTACATCATGTCTCAGTGCCCCAGAGTGTCATTCAATTCACAGAGGAAAACAGTAAGTGTTTAGGGCTAGCTTTATTAAGTTTATCTCTAATTCTACCAGCCACTACTGTATGTGGTACTCATTGTTAGTAAGATCCTTATCTTAAATTTTACCGAATATTTGTGTTATCAGGCATCAGTCTTGTAACTTACTATTAGGGAAAAGGAGAAAAATGATGCGCTGGGTATCTGTTGGTATGAGGAACACTTAAAAAAGGCAGCTAGCCGCTACTCCTCTAAGCAATCTTTTATTTGTAAGAAAAGAATTGGCAAAAGGTGGAATCAAGAAATGAGGAGCAGGTGCATCCTAGATCCTTACCAAGAATACCTCATTTCAGCATAATGAACTTATAAATAGTCCCTACCCAGCCCACACACGCACACATGCAGAAAGACAGGAATGCAGAAGAATAGACAGATTCTTATTCAACGATCTGAATAAAGATAAGTTCAAGACATTGCCACGGTCTGCATGTTGGACTTCCCTCTGCCACCCACCCCCAGCAGGAGCTGAGAATCTTTGTGGCAACACCACCCCTTGCAACCATTCAATACTTACAAAGAGAGAGAGAAGGAAGGCAGGAGAGCCCATGGGGACACTGTCCTGTTAGAGGACAAACAAACACTGATCAGGTTCCACAGAAACTCTCAGCCGCAAGCACCCCAAACCTCAGGACAGAGACACAAGCACCACACACACAAAGACAAAATTTAAAAACTCAAGAACAAGAGGAAAGAGATCCAAAAGCAGTCTGGCCATAATGCTTTCTGGAACAGGAACTGACGGTCCCCAACTGCTGAAAAAATCATTTCCCCTACTTTGAAGGCACTCACTCAGAGAAAGTAATAATCCACTCATTCAGCTCACAATTTCTCATGTGACTGGGTATTTCAGGCACAGCGAGTGTGTTTCAACGTTTGGATGAGTACATCCAAAGATTTACGTATGTTTGAACACCACTGGAATATAAAAGCCCAGCAGTTACCAAGTAGTAAGTAGTAACATAAGGTTCCTTGGATGCTTCAGACTTCTAGCTCTGGAACACTGGCATACAGGCTCTTTCTTGGTCTCCTCACCTTCTCTGAAGAATCCTGTTTGCGGGTAGAATCTCTCCCACGAAGACTTTTAGCACTGATCCCAGATTCAGATGTCTGCATAATCAACTGTGTGGCAAGGAATTGCTATAGTGAAAAGAAAGACAGTTGGCCCTTGAAACCTGATCCAGTAGGGAAGAATTAAGACTCTTTTGGCTTTGTAAAAAGGA